GCTTATTAATTTTTATTTTTTTTGCGTGCACCCCCACCCCCTCCACTCCTTATTCCATACCCCCCATTTATTCTTTTCCAGCTTGCCACGACCGACGATCATGTAAACATGTTATTATGTTTGTAAACCATAACTCCTTGTTTGATTAGTCAGTATTTTTTGGTGGTGTATGATAACTGCTCAGAACACTGTTTTGAATGAGTGAAAGTTCTTAATTTCCCTTGACTGACAATGGTGTTCATGGTTTCTTGACTCATGACTAAAAGATGGTGGGTTTAATTCTTGGCTGTCATAGGTGTGAAGTTTTGTACCCTTAGGATGGATCTTACTCCCCTCAGATGCCAGTTTGGTACTTCTTGTAGCCAATCTGCTGGGCAGTATTTCAGAGACAGGTCACTCGTCTCCTGTCCTTGAGGTGATACTGTGATATCTTCTCCGCTCCTGGCTATGTAAACTTCAACAAATCCTCATTGCTCTGCAACGAACTTCATTTTTCTTACTATAAAAAACTATTACTACTATTAGTAAGGTTTACTGTAGACTGTCTAGATACATTGTGGAGCAATGATATAATTTTGCTTACTTATACATGTATCTTTATTTTTTGGATAATGCCACAGCCTGGCTGGCTAACAAAAATATATTTTTTAAATGGAAAAAGGACTTTGAATTGAATAGAGGGCATGTTTGTTAGTACGAGTGGACAAGATTGTAATTAATTTTTCATTTAATCTGCAGGTGTGCTTTTTTTTAGTGATGGACAAAATGAGGCTGTGATATCCCTGACAATTGTTCAAGACAACACACCCGAGCCAGCTGAAAAGTTTCAGTTGATGCTGCAGACAGCTTTTGTTACAGGAAATGCTAGAGTGGAGGGTATTTCCACAGCATTTCTCCTTCTTGAAGACAGTGACAATGTTTATGGGACAGTAGAATTTGGACCAGGAACTGACCATAAGCTTGTGACAGTAAGCATATCATGTGAAGTTGCAAGAAATTATATAATAGATTTAAATGGCAATCTTTTTAAAAGCTCCTATCTTTATTTTGTAATGCCACAGACTCTGCTTGTGGTAAGTGCCAAAGTTTGTTTCCTTTATAGAACAATTAATATAAATGCTTCGAAATTAGAGTTTTAAACTCCAAGTCCACTATTGGCTAGAAGTTTGTAGTTCTTTTCCCTATCTCTAAAATAACTGTTGTGCTGGATGAACTTGATGTCCAGCTCTATAGATTTATTTGCCTTTTATGGCTTTATTGATTTTATTCAATGAATTGCTCTTTTCATGACTGGTTTTATTGCGCACATATTATGACCTCTAAAATTTCCCTGCTTGAAAGAAAACTCATATTTGCAAAAATGAATATTTTCAAAAGGCCAGAAAATAATCTCATGTGTTCATCAAATTTCGAATCATATCATGTTGGTAGGCCTACTGCTTTTAACATTAAGATGATGGGATACACCATTTTGTTCTGATCATGGTGATAAGTGGAGGTCCTACATAAAAAAACAACAGGATATAGTATTTCAGTAGCAATGTCAGCGAGTTAATTTCATTTTCAGAATGTTTCCCCTCGACTGCTTCAACTGTCAATCACTCGATCAGGCGGAAGGTCAAGCGAGCTGAAAGCAAATGTTTCTGTGACATACGATGACGGGAGTCGTTTATTAGACGATGGTTTGTTTTACGAGTGCATTTCACTGTTTTTCATTGTTCATCTTCATCATCTTTGCCTTTCTCATCCTAGGTCAGGGTATAGGCCACGAACAAATATTTTCCACCTATCCCTATCCTGGGCTTGCCTCTTGATGTTATTCCATGTCTTCCCACTTTTCTGTCATTGTTCATAAGTAGAGGGAAATATAATGTTGTAATCTAACATTCATATGGGGAAAACTAGGAAAGATTTTTTTGAGTTCTTTGATCAATATATTATTGGTATTCTTGGATAGCAGTAAGGGTAGTGGGACACTAGTGTTCACAAAGCTTTTAAAAATGCATAAGAATTACTGATTTACTCTGAGGTTATCAAGTCTGCTGCGGAGAGACAAATTTTGTCTCTAGCTGATATCGAAGTATATAATATGCGGTGTTTCATGTTTCTAAGGAGATTTTTTTTCTTGTGATTTGTTTTAATCTGGTTATGAGATTTTAAGAACTCATTTAATGCACTCTCTCCTCTGCAAGTAAACAAATCTCTTCAACCTATGGCAGATAGAAAAAGTAATGTATTTTCAGGGTTCCTCTTGAATTTTTTTAAACTGTAGGGTTCTATAATATATAATGTTCTCATTTCTTGATTGAGGCATATAAATTGAAATTTTAGATGATTTCCTTCTGTTTGCCTCATGTTGATATTTTGTGTAGTTTTGTTTATGAGAAAATGTACACAGTTTGATATCTTTTTTCAGACTCTGTGTTTGTGTCTTCAAGCATAGAGGCCACGCTTCCTGAGGGGGAAGATCCTATTGTGATAAGTTTTGAACTGCAGCCAACAACATTTCTTGTTGTTGGTGGAGAGTTTCAAGCTACAATTACTGAGCTGGGATTTGAAATAGGTGAGATATTTAGGTTTTTTTGTTCACTAATTCACCCTACCCCCAAACTCTGTACATTACACTCACCATACACTTTAACATCAGATCTTGTGACATATGGGCTTGCACACATAAACTTCTCTCTCACACACACACACACACACACACACACACACACAC